AGAGAGAGAGGAGAGAGAGAAACATCAATGATGAGAGAGAATCACTGATGAGCTGCCCCCCTGCACACCCCACACTGGGGATTGAACCCACAACCTGGGCATATGCCCTGACCAGGAATCAAACCATGACCTCCTGGTTCATAGGCTGACGCTCAACCACTGAGCCATGCCAACTGGGAGGTTCCAGCATCTTGAAGGTAACAATCTGGACCCACCTACCCTCCCTTTGTGGCACTGACTTCCCTCCAGGGACTGCAGATTAGCCCTGGACAAAAAGAACTGGGAGAGAGAGACCAAATGCAAACAGGGGCATGCATGCATATCAGTACAGTAGCAGAGCCAGCTCAGGGCAGGAAGCCTGGACAGGGCAGGATTCCACCAAGGGGTAAATCGTTCGATAAGGCCAGTATTAATTCCACGGAGGTCATTCATTCCACGGGGGCACGGGATGGGGAGAGTTTGGTAAGCCACACCTCTGCACAGCAGCAGACCAAAGTCTAGTTGGGGCTACAAATCCTGCCCCATCACCCCCCAAATTCTGGGTCCATGCCAGCGCACGGATAAGTTGGTGACTTTGCCATAATGCACAGCTTGGATAATATTATCCTGGAAAACTTAAAGCAGGTGTTCTCCCACTTCTCCCTCGGCCATTAAAAAAATCCAAATAAAAATGGGCAGAACATCTCCCTTTAAATAATGTAACCTTATTTATTTATGTGCTCTTTCATTTATTTCACAGATATTTGTTGCTTAACATGTGCCAATCCCTGCATTGGGCTCTGGGGATGCACACATGACTTATAATCTATATAATCCTATATAATAAAAGTCTAATATGCTAAGTGTCAGACCTATTCATTCGACTGTTCGACCAGTCGCTATGACGTGCACTGACCACCAGGGGGCAGATGCTCTGACCAGTAGGTTAGTTTGCTGCTGAGGTCCAGCGATCGGGACTGTGCGAGACAGGCAAGACAAGCCCTGGAGCCCTCCTGTGGTCCCTCCCCGGCCCCGATCGTGCACCGGTGGGGTCCCTCGGCCTGGCCTGCAGGGATCGGGCTGAAACCAGCTCTCTGACATCCCCCAAGGGGTCCCGGATTGCGAGAGGGTGCAGGCCAGGGACCCCACCGGAGCACAATTCTGTGCACCGGGCCTCTAGTCTATAATAAAAGCTTGGTGGAACATTGGAGATACTAGTTTTTACAGTGTTGAAAGGGTTGGCCATTTAATTGTTAACCAGAGTGAAATACACATGGGCCTCCAGTATTGGCCGGAAGCACAGGGCAGAGAAGAACCTCTACCCCAGGTCTAGCCCTTCTTAGCTGAGCAAATGGCACAAGTCACTCCACGGTTCTGAAGTGTCTGCAACATGTGGGGGGGAGATAGTGCCCCCCTCTGGATGGTTGTGATGGATACAGCAAAGAGCACGTGTGAACCCTTTATCGCATGCCCGGATCCAGATGTGCTCAGCAGGGGTAAGCTCTCCTTGTTACAATCTGTGCCAGCCTTGGATTTAGAATATTTTCATTGGGCAGGAATGAAAGAGCAGGGCCCAATGTCTATAAAGACCTTCCTTGGGTTCTGACAATTAAATTATCTGCACAAAGGAGAATGCATGCCTTTTGGTTCTTGTAAGATGGCTCTGGTTTTGAGCACAGCCTTGGGGGTTAGACCACTTGGGTTGGAGCCCAGCTCTGCCACTTTCTACTGTGTCTTCCTGGGCAAGTCACTTAGGCTTTCTAAGCCTTGGTTTCTGTATCTGTAACAGGCGAAGAATAATAGTACCTGCCTCATGGAGTTTTTGTGAGGATTGAATAAAATATGGCCTGTAGGTCAGGCACTTGATTACTGGCTGTCCAGTCAGGGTCTAGCTGTCTGTGAATGTGTCCCCTTTCTGAGCGGAGAGGAAGGGAGGGGTGCGGGCAGATCAGTCAGATCAATCTAGGAGATAAATAGCATGACGTGTTGTGACGCGAGTGCCCTTGAGCCTGAGCGATGACTCAGAACAGCACACATCATTGCTTGGTGACAGCCCCACACCCTCGTATTTAGCTGGCAAGCTCCCCCTCTGTCTGTGCACCGTCCTGCTCTGCACGGGCATCGCTGCGAAGATACCTGCACTGTCTCCCCGCTGTGCGTCGTCTGGTCTTGGTGGGGCCTGAGTCATTTGCAATCTTATTTCTGTCTTCTGGGTTATTGGCTCTCCCATCTCCTCGACTACTGACTGTGAGTGTCTGAGTGTCTTTCCTGTTCCTCATCATTAACCATCTGGGTCTCTGAGCACTAGGTCTGGAAAGTGTGGCTATAAATCCCCAGATGTCAAGGCTCGGGGGGGGGGGGGGGGGGGGGGGGTGGTGGGTGGCTGAGTGAGTCTAGCACAGAGCACAGAGGTGCTCATTAGACCTTCGCACAAGGATGTGGGAAGTGCCAGATTCTGGGACAAGCGGGCGTGGGTGCTGTCCAAGGTACTCACAGCTTTCACCTCAGCCCACAGAGGAGTGAAGGAGCTGGCACTGGACCAACATCCAGGCTGAGGGTTCAGGAACCGGCAGACCTGCCCTGCCTGGCAGGCGTGAGACCCTTCCCCTTTCGATGCCTGAAGCCACTTCAGTTATTCTGGGAGTCCCTGCCTGCCTGTTGTTTACAAGGCTGACGGTGCCCCACTCTCCTGATGACAAGCTTAATGCTCCTCAGGAAGGATTAAGATCTTACTTAAACACACACACGCAAAGCTCCCTTGGGCTCAGCTGTCAAGGTGAAGAGCTGAGGCGGCAAACCTTGTTATAAAAAATCCGGCAATGAAGTTGGAAACATCATGGGAGAGATTGCTCTGTTCGGAGGCCCGGCTGGTGCAGATGCTTCCTGCACAGCCTGCTCTGCTCTCCTCAGCTCACCCCGGCCTGCCTCACCCCCCACTTCAGAGGGAAGGGGGCATTCAGGCTGCCCTGTGCTCAAGGCCACGATCACCTGCCACGTGAGCCAAGTCAGCGGGGGCCCAGACTCCTCCGGCTGGGCTGGCACAAATGCTTACCACCTTTCAGACCAGACTCTCTCCTGTCAGTGGTGAGTCAATCAAGGGGACAGTGGCCAGCTGAGCAGAGGCAAGATCTCCCTTTGGGGACAGGGACTGGCCTGGCCAGGGAGGCACCTGGCTTCCCCCACACCTTGGATGTCCCTACAGGGATCTCACTGTGCCCTTGTACAGTTTATGTAACACTGTCACTCCATGTGTCACCTCACTCCTAACGCCCTGCAGGCAGATCTTATTAGTTCACGCTTAATGCTTAATGGGGCCAGAGAGGTTAAGGAATTTCCCCAAGCTCACACAGCTGCAACACGGTGTTCCAAATCCTGTGCTCTCCTCTCCTTTGCCATCACATGCCTCCTTCTCTGGGTGGCAGGCCCCGTTCTAGATTCCCCAAGGAGGTGGGGAGATTTGCCTGGAGAGCAAGCCTAATAGTCAGGAGCTTTGGTGATGAGGGTCCTGGGCCCCCTGAAAGCCTGGGGCTTGCCTGACCCCATGGGGAGTCCCAGCCACGCTGGGGAGGTTTCTCCTATAGTCAGAGGGCCCGCCTGCCTACCTGCCACCACACCAGCCACGTAGACCAGCCCAATGCGGGTCGCTCCGTGCACCATCTCCAAGGGCACCCCCACCAGGAGCTGCAGCACCACATTGAGGCCCAGGTGTTCTATCCTGTATGGAGAGACCACACCCCATTCATTCATCCAGTCACCCATTCGTTTATTTGACAAACACTGTGTGCCAAGATGCTGGGGGTCCAGCAGTGAGCAAGACCCTATACCTGCCTTTGAGGAACTCATGGTCTGGGATGGTGGGGGCAGGAGTCACAAAAGAGACAGATCATCTTGGAAAGAGCGTTCCTTCCACACCTTTCCCGCCACCTGAGGTGAGAACACGTGCAGGGCCTGGGCGGTAAGTGGCAGTGTCTGCACTGGCCACAGTGAGAGGCTAACTGTGGTCAAGACCCAGCAACTCTACTGGCTGACACATGAAAAGCCAAGCCTCAGAGAGGGGCACTGGCCAGCTTAGAGTCACTCAGCTGGTTCGTGGCCAGGCTGGTAGCACAGCCCAGGTCTCTGATGTGCAGGCCCTCCTCCATTCACCAGGTCCAGAGGGCACGGTGGCTTGCTATTGTATCTGTAAGAGCTACTGATATTTAAAGAGAAAGCTGTTGCCCGGCCAGCATGGTTCAGTGGTTGAGCATCGATCTATGAACCAGGAGGTCACGGTTTGATTCCCGATGGTCAGGGCACATGCCTGGGCTGCAGGCTTGATCCCCAGTGTGGGGTGTGCAGGAGGCAGCAGATCAATGATTCTCTCTCATCATTGACGTTTCTATCTCTTCCTCTCCCTTCCTCTCTGAAATCAATAAAAAATACATTTAAAAAATAAAAATAAAGAGAGAGATGTTTTCAAAACAAGCGCAAGCGTTAGAGATGCATCTCAGAGCTTAGTAATTCAGTTATCACTTAACATCTGAAGGGGGAGGCCTCTCCCTCCTGGTGGCGGGGACCCATTCTGCCCGAAACTCCCAGGGTTGGGATTTCTTGCCCTGAAAATGCCTTCTTTTTTACGCTATCATGTGACCAGATCTTGTTGCTAAATGGTGTCTAGCTGAGTGCATGTTACTAGAAAATATCGTAACATTACTATTATTACATTGGTGTGTGCTTTCAAGTTTACAAAGCACTTTAACATCCATTATCTCATACAAACTGAGCAGCTGGACAGCTCCCTGGGGAAGCGTAAGTTATAGGGTAACAGAGCATGTAACAAGGGGTCTGGATGCTGCCTGGCCTGCAGGCTCGGATATCTGCCGATCCGGGAGGGTGCCTGTGAGGCAGCACGTGACTCAGGTCAGGCTCTGTCCCAAATTCCCACCATCCCTGCAATCTTCTGGCCCCCCACCCCGACCCCCCGACTGTGCCAGCCAAAGGACCCTAGATTAGAAATGTCAGAAAAATTTACTGAAAAGGAGCTGGGTGGTAGCCTCAGACTCACAGACAGACCTCAGAGGTTTTCTGCTCCTGCCTCCTTGGTTTACAGCCTAGAACTTGAGACTAGAAGAGGCCAGGTGAGGAGAACCCAGAGCTCCTGCCTCCCAATCCGACCTCTTTCTTCTCAACCACAGTGATTTCTTTATTAAAAAGTGTATTTTTAAAGTGAAGGGAACTAGGTTTGCTAAAGTAATTGTGGTGATAGAAATGTATTAGCCTCAGAAGCTACTGAGGTGGTTCATTCTATCCTAGTACAGTGTAACTAAAAAAAAAAAAAGTATATTTTTATTGATTTCAGAGAGGAAGGAAGAGGGACAGAGAGATAGAAACATCAATGATGAGAGAGTCATTGATGATCTGCCTCCTGCACACCCCACACTGGGGATCGAGCCTGCAACCCGGGCATGTTCCCTGACCGAGAATCAAACTGTGACCTCCTGGTTCATAGGTCAACGCTCAACCACTGAGCCATGCCAGCCAGGCTCAACCACAGTGACTTCTGAATTCATGGGCTGGAGTGTGTCCCTGAGTAATGGGTCACCCTGCGGGCTTTCCCTAGATGCTGGCCAGCTCCCTCTATCTCATGTCTCCTGTGGCACCAGCCAGGAGCCCCTCCCTCAAGGTCACAGGCCTGGAAAATCTCCCAGGGCTCTTCCTGACAGGCATAGCTCCAGGAGAAGCAATGGCCAGAGAAAGGCTCGAGGCCACCCCTGTGCCTCCGGGGGGAGCATCTGTGCTCTGGCCACTCCGGCCTTTCAGCTCTTGGAGGCAAAGTGGACAAGGAGGCCTTGGAGACATTGTCCATTCTCCCTCCTTACCTCATGGGATCAGGGGAGGCCAGAGGGTAGTCCTGCAAATAAGGCAGATAATCTCACCCCACATGCACCCACGGGCTTGGGCCTGGCCAGGGAAGTCCCTGCTTCCTATTGCCTCCAAATCTTGACTCACGAAAAGACTGAACATGACACGCCTCCCTCTGCTCCTTAGCCCTGTGAGATCAAAGCCTGGGACAGCAGGCAAGGCAAACAGCTGTGGCACAGTCCCCTCTGGCTCAGCGTGGAGGCGTCCATCGGAACCATCAGAATGTCTCCTCTCCCAAACCCTCCCCAGCAGGTGCAGCCAATTAGGGGTTGGCATTCGTGCCATTTAGAGGCTCAGCAGGAAGGGAGGCTCACAGCGGGGCTTCCTCTTGGCCACTGTGGGTCTTTCTGCCAAGGAACAAGAATGATGGAGCCTCGGGGGCCAGAGTGATCCTCTTCCCATGTCCAACCCCAGGGACAGGCACCCCCCAGGGCTGCCCCAGACTAACAGTGAGCCCGTTTGCTTCTCTCCCTGGAGAGGCTGTAGAAGACACCATAGAGGTCGGGGGTCCATGGACTCCGCTTTTCCAACTCAGCACTTCTACTACGTAAAAATGGTCTCCAGCCAAGATAGTGCTTTTTAAGGGAATTGGACCTGGGTAGTCACCTGGCCTGATCCTGGGTAAGAGGCACCAGTGAGAACTGACTGCACTCCAGCCCTAACGAGGTCACAAGGCTCTGTAAACAGAACAGTAAGTATTGCCAAATTCCTCAAGAAGACCCTCACCATGTATGGAGAGCACTCTGGGAAGACGGCAGTTTCAAGAAATCTGTCCTTGATTTCACTGGTGGGGGCACTCACACACAATACAGTTTATGGACAATGAACTTGGCAGCTGACCATATTTCCCTCTTTGCTTTGGCCACTAGGAAGCTCAGAAGTTTATAACCGACCTCTAGCAAGTACATAGACTCACATGCTATGGATGTTTGTGCTGATTTCACTGTGGGATGTGAGCATTTTACTCTCTGTATTTCCCCTTTCCCATACACTTCCAATAACTCATATATTTTGGTATTAGATGAGTTTCAAGAAGTCATCTCAAATCCTGTGTCCAGGGAGACAAACTAAAAAATATATTTCAATCCAGGCTATCGGGGCTACTTCTTTTTCCAAAGGGACTCTTGATAGAGGGAAAGAAGACAAGTACTCACCCCGCGTGCATGAAGATATACGTCAGGTAGCGCCACGCCTGTGCTCGGAGCTGTGGGTGGTAAACCAGTGCGTTCTGCAGGTACCGGGGATGGGTCACCTGCAGCACAAACTGATCCAGCGACACTCCATTGTACAGGAAAAAGGCCACCTGGGTGGAAGCACAGGACGGAGGGGGCCCATTACTAAGTGCAAAACTGCCCAGGAACCCTCTGGTGCTAACACTCGGAATCCTTGCTGGAAGTTGTCATCTTTCCTTCTCAGAGAATGAGGGACTCCCCCTGCGGCCAGTGCTCAACCTCGGCTTCAACCATCTCCACCCCACTTCTGTTTGATTATTTTGCCTCAGCTATTCACAACACGGTCACATGATCTCGGCCCACACTTCCTTGGGGCTAAGCAGGAAGGGTTTGGAGGATTTTAAACTTTAATCCCAATAATAAAGAACATACCCATCTGGGGGATAAGGCAATGCCACACAAGTTGATTTAAAAAAACAACACCTACGGTAAAATACATAGAAATACAAGTTACCATCTAAAACACTTTTAAGTGTACAGTTCAGGGGCATGAAGTTCATTTAAATTGTTAGGCAACCAACACCACCATCCGCCCACAGAAGTCTTTTCACCTTGCAAAACTGAAACTCCGTAGCCATTTAGCATTAGCTTCCCATTCTACTTTCCCCATCTCTGGCAACCACCATTCTACTTCCTGTCTCTATGAATTTGGCTACTCTAGGTAACTCGACTTCTGCTTATTTCACTTAGGATAATGTCACCAAGGTTCATCCATGCTGTTGATTAGGCCAAAATGTCCTTCCTTTCCTGAGGATGAGTAACACTCCCATTGTATGTGTAAGCCACATTTTGCTTATCATTCATCTGTTGATGAACATTTGGGTTGCTTCACATTTTAACTACTGTGAATAATGCTGTTATGAACATGGGTGTACACATATCTCCTTGAGTCCCTGCTTTCAATTTATTTTGAGTATATACACAGAAGTGGAATTGCTGGATCACGTGGTAATTCTGTTTAATTTTCTGAGTAATCGCCATACTGTTTCCCATAGCGGCTGCACCATTTTATACTCCCACCAACAGGGCACAAGGGTCCCAATTTCTCTGCATCCTCACCACCACTCTGCATAAGCAGACTATGCAAATGACTACAGCACACTAACATAAGCCCTAAAAGGGTATTTAACTGTTTTTTTTCTGGAACTCTTTCTAAAATGCATCATTCATGTCCCTATGTTCTTAATCAGGTATGTGCATAATCTCTTAAGGATGCCTCAGGTACAGAGCTGGGCACTGGGAGTGATGTCTTCTCCAGCAATTGATGGGGCTTCCCTCCAACTAAATGGCCCCAAATTCTTGTGTTTAAGACTCAGGGGTAGCCCTCGCCAGTTTGGCTCATTGGGTAGCGTCAGCCTGCAGACCAAAGGGTCCTGGGTTTGATTCCTCCCTGGCCTGGGCCCTGGTCAGGGCTCGTGCAGGAGGCAACCAATCGGTGTCTCTCACATCGATGTTTCTTTCTGTCTTTCCCTTTCTCTTCCACTCTCCCTAAAAATCAATGGAAAAATATCCTCAGGCGAGGATTAACAAAAAACAAACGAACAACAAAAAAAAGACAAAGGTCTACTTTTAAATGTTTTTTAAATTGATTTCAGAGAGAGAAAGGGAGAGGGAGAGAGGAATAGAAACATCAATGATGAGAGGGAATCGTTGATTGGCTGCCTCCTCCACGCCCCCTACTGGGGATGGAGCCTGCAACCCAGGCATGTGCCCTTGACCGGAATCAAACCTGGGACCCTTCAGTCCCCAGGCCGACACTCTATCCACTGGGCCAAACCAGCCAGGTCAGGTTCTTACTTTTTATTGCTGGCTAATAGTGGGTCCCTTCTATTTTCTCTGTTATGGAATCAGGAAACTGGGTATCTAGAACTGTATTTAAAACAAAAAGCCTTGGGCTTTTGTACAAGGACTCTGAAACAGTTATTTCAACATTTTCTTCTAGGATGGTGGTTTGAGTTTACATAGCCGAGGCTTCTGGAAATTTGAAACCAATCTGGACACAAAATCTGGCTTCTCTGGGTAACCTTGGACAAATGATTTGAATTTTCTGGTTCTCGATTCCCTGACCTGGAAATGGGGATATGAATGCCTACACTTCCAGGGTAGTGATGAGGCTTAGAGCAGCGGTTCTCAACCTCTGGGTCGCGACCCCTTTGGCGGTCGAACGACCCTTTCACAGGGGTCGCCTAAGACCATCCTGCACATCAGATATTTACATTACGATTCATAACAGTAGCAACATTACATTTATGAAGTAGCAACGAAAATAATTTTATGGTTGGGTCACAACATGAGGAACTGTATTTAAAGGGCCAGAAGGTTGAGAACCGCTGGCTTAGAGATAAAATACAGGAGGCCCCGCTGGGTGCCCGGCATGCGATTCGGGAAGGCAGCTGTAATTAGCGTCGGGTTAGGGCTTCCTGGGTGGAGCCTGGACTGGCTCAGGCCCGCCAGCAGCTGGACTCCCCTGGGCTCTCTGGGGAGCCGTTCTGTCCACCTAACAGGATGCGGGTGGCCTGGCAACAAATACAGCTTCCAAGGCAGCTCGTTATTATTGGTCCTCAAATAGAAGTTAATAAATAGACCAACACAGTAAGCATTTGGAGAAGGAGTCCAAGAATATCTCAGAAAAAAATCTCAATTTCAACGTGAACTTGGAAGAAGCCTTGGGCCTGCAGACCAGCTATTCTCATTTAGGAAAAAAGAAGAATGCCATGAAGCTTAACGATCCTGCCGTCTGATTAGGAACTTTGCAAGAACATACACAGGGGTGGTAATTAGGCCCGTGGCTCTGGAAGAGAAACCGGTGAAGATTATAAGACGCCAAAGGGAAGCCGAGTATCCATTTAGGGGTGGGGGGGCCCAGGGGTTCTTAGGCTGAACAGCCCACAGAATTCAGAGTTCCTCACGCATGTGTGGGCCCTGATTCAGAAAGGGGTACCTTTGGATTGCGTTGATATCGAAGCAGGAGACTTTTAGAATAACAATGGGTCTGGATGATTCCCTAAGGGGAGGCTGTTCTTTCAAAATGTGTTAAGTCCACATTTACCTGTTCAGAAACACTCTCTCCCATATGCATTTGTGGGAGGCTTTTGTGTTCCATTCTCTGGCTCACGAGGGGGCCTACGGGAGAAGGAGGGCAGGCCTGCTTATTCCTGCTTCCCAGGCGGAGGATGGAGTCCCAGGGGGGCAAATGACCTGTCCACATTACTCACTCAGGGAGGAACTAAAATAAATTGGTTTTCGTGAGTTAGCCTGACTAACTCCCCCAAATCGGTGAACTTATTACATTGTTTTTGTTGTTACTGTTTAGCTGTGCTGGTCACATGGGGATTTTGCTGCAGTGACTACTGCTTGAAGAAAGAATCTTTGGAATATCTTTGGGGTCCAGGAAGTAGGACTACACTGCAAGCCCTCTACTGGGGCTGGACTTGCAATGACAACTGCTACTGGCTCCTCCCTCAACCATCGGCTTTTGGTGGAGAAGATGCTGCCCTGCCCATCACGATCTCAGACATCCTCTCGCCCTGGCTGTGCTGAGGCCGAGCGGCCCTTCCCCATCCTTGTCCTTGCCTCCAGCAGGGTGATGGTGATCATGAACCAGGGTGGGGGGCAGCAGGTGTAGCTGTCGTAGTACCACTTCCGGTCAATCTCCCGGGGCAGGGTCTCGTAGGCCACGTGGCGGATGAGCCGCTGGGAGAGGTTCAGCCCTTTCTCCTCCAGCAGGGCCTTGCTGCAGAGCCGGCGGTTCCCCTGCAGGATGGCCTGGCGGAAGCTGTTGGACCGCTTGTTGCTCATCTGCACAGGAAACAGGGTGGGGGACAGGGTCAGAAGCAGGGTTTCGGGAGCCCCGACCCATTTCCCAGCCAGCACAATCCTTAGACTTAACCAGGCCTGATCTACAATAGCTCACCAGAAGCACTATTCACTGAGCTCTTACATGTCAGGGGCTGTTCTAAGCACTTCACAATTTGTTGGTTCATCTGCTACAGTCAGTCTACCTGTTACATAAGGCCTATGAATATCTCCATTTTGCTCGATGTGGAAACCAAAGCACAGAGAGTTTTTAGGACCCATCAAGTTCACACCCTGTAAGGCTCCTCAGCCTGTATTCATGTATTCACAGTACCTTCCTTCCATCCCCCCATCTCTCATCTATCCATCACAATTTCCTGAGCAACTACTACGTGTCAGGCACATTGCCAGGCCCAGGGGATACAGTGGTACTCGAGACAGATAAGTAACCAGCAATTACAGTTCAGAGCCAGGGCTGCTGCAGGAGCACACGGGAGGGAGCCCAACCTGGTCTCGAGGTGGTCAGGGAGTGCTTCCTGGAGGAGGAGGTATCTGAGTGAGAGCTGGAGGGTGAGAAGGACTTAGGTCCTCATAAACATTAGCGTGGGAAGGGTTGGGCAGCCCTTGCTGACTCTCCCAAAACCCAAAGCTGTGCCTGTGGAAGGTCACCACTCCTGAGTCCCTTCAGGTGACTGGCCATGGAACCCTGCCTAAGGGCTGACCCTGCCTTGGCAGCCTGAGGCTGCCCGACACAGTAGAGCCCTGGCTGCTCACCCGACAGTCAGCCTGACTCCCAGAGATCAGAGCAGCCTGCTGACGTCCAGCCCCAAGGCCTCTGTTTCCTGCCATCTGCCCTCCACGACCACATTCTAGACCAGGGGTGGGCAAACTTTTTGATTCGAGGGCCACAATGGGTTCTTAAACTGGACCGGAGGGCCGGAACAAAAGCATGGATGGAGTGTTTGTGTGAACTAATATAAATTCAAAGTAAACATCATTACATAAAAGGGTACGGTCTTTTTTTTTTTTAGTTTTATTCATTTCAAACGGGCCGGATCCGGCCCGCGGGCTGTAGTTTGCCCACGGCTGTTCTAGACCTTGATTACGGGGAGATGTCCTAGAAACTGAGTCCTCCCAACCCCAGAGCCCACAGCACCGCCTGGGTGGCTGTTCCACAGCAGCTGGGGTGGGGATTAGCAGCTCATTCCTGGGACTGTGGGCCCGGCGGTGGACAAGAGGCTGAACCCAGAGGCAGGAGTCCACTCAGGGCTGGCCAGGTGCACCAGGCAGACCAAGGCACAGGGGTTTGAAGCCCTGTCGGGGAAAGGGAGCTGGGAGGATCTGCATTCAGACCAAACGGGTGGAATGAGCCTCCCTCTGCAGCTTTTCCGCTCCTGGATTCTGCTGCCTCTACCTTTAAAGTCTGGCTTAAAGCCCCAGCAGGCCTTCCCAGAGGAAGCCCTTCCAAAGATTCTCTATTCTCCTCCCCTCCATACCTACAAAACTCGGGTCTGGTCCTTCCTACTGGCTCAGGAGTTCTGTAAATGCAGGCAGGGCTTGGGGCTCCAGGTACACGGTAAGCCCAAGACAGGATCCCAGCGTGCAGTATTTTGTAGCCACACTTACCATCCTCTCTTCCAATCTCCGAGTGGGAATATGCACGCTCACAAACACACCCGCAGTCACACCCTGACGACCCGTGCGGGGTCAGGCTCAGCATGAGCACAGCAGCACGGTGAGCACACACTCCCCACTCACCGGCTCCCCTGGTGTGCCCAGCAGTGTGCTGGGCGCAGGTGGAACCATGGTCTTGGGCCTCACGGAACTTATAAGGAGAGACAAATGTATAAACAGCAGCAAAAGAGGGTGTCATCTTAGTTATCTGGTGCCTAGGATTATCCCCACGTCATAAAGATGGGGACCAGAGCTTGGAGAGTAATTTCTCAAAGACCCATCGTTAGGAAATCAGAGTCAGGATTCACATCCAGATCTGCCTGCCTCTGGAATCCAGGTAATTGGCACTTTCCTGCCAAGGAGATAGGGATCTGCTCCCTCCAGGTGGCTGCACCCCTTCCAGGCCTGGAGGAACAAAGCCCATGCCAGATTCCAGTCCCCACTTACCCCTCTGCCGGGCATCCTGTACAGAACACAACCTGCACGTCCTCACGTGACCACCCTGGCCAATCAGCTGGGACGTAATGTGGTCTGTGCTATAAGAGAAGCCTGGCGCCCTGGCCGGGTAGGTCACTTTGTTGGAGCATCGTCCCCATAAGCCAAGGTTGCGGGTTCAATCCCCGGTCAGGGCACATACAAGAATCAACCAATGAATGCATAAATAAGTGGAACAGCAGGTCGACGTTTCTCTCTTCAATCAATCAATCAATCAATCAATCAAGAGAGACCTGGCAAAGCACTGTGGGGGTTGGGGTAAGGAAGGGCTCAGGAAGGAGGCAGAGTTTACCTGCTGGAAGAATACTACAGACAACAAAGTCTTTCATATATTTCACCTCGTTGAATCCTTGCAATGACCCCAAAGGAGGTAAAATCCAGGCTCAGAAGATCTTTCCCAGTGAGTGGCACAGGCAGAGCCAGGAGAGGGACCCAGGTCTGCCTGACTCCAGACCCTGAGCTCTCTGCCCGCCCCAGAGCTTCCCGTCTGGTGACCTTCTCTTAGTCCTGGTCCCCAGGGCAGCCCAGCTCACACGAATCAAGGCTCCAGCTGGCCTCTCCAGCTCTGAACTGACAGAAATCCCAACAGTGTCAAGTCCCCTGTGGCTGTGAGTTCACAGAGGACCCCACAGACCCCTTGCTGGAGAGAAGCACCTGCTGGGCCCAGCCAGGCCCTCGTGCTGCCCTGGACTGAGCAGGGGATGCAGCAGACGTGCTTGCGCTGGGCTGTGGATGAGCCTGTGCAGGCCCAAGCCCCGTGGCCTGGTCTTTGGTGGCACAGCTGGGCTATAAGTCCCAGGGCTCACCTCCACCGCCTGCCCCATGAATCCCGGCTGCCCCTCCTCCTGTAGCTCAGCTCTGACCCCTGCCCTCTACAAGGCCTGCTCCCTGGGTCCATTCTGAACAGCAGTGGAACCCAAAAGCCCTACTGCTGCTCCCTGTAATCGCTGGGCAAAGGCAGGCCCTCAGCCGAGAGGCAATTAAAGCAGGTCCAAAGCTGGGTGTCCACATCAGAGAGCCCACCTGGCACAGGACAGGTCTGAGTGGGACTGGCTCCCCATCACTGACAGCATCGGGTGACAGAAGAGAGGACACTGTCTCACCCCTCCATGAGTGACAGAAGAGAGGTGACGTCCCCACCCATTTCAATAGGGAAACCAAGGTCAGACTCCAGCCTTGGATTCATCCTGTTAGTTCATGTAGAGTCCACTGACATTCCAACCATCCTGTGGCAGGTAACATGCTTCCTGCTTAACCCCACTGGACCCCATTCCAATCTCACCCCAGTAATAACACAGCAGTAACCCGCAGAGAGGAGGGAGTCCCTACTCTCAGTCAGAGCAGTGGGCAGGATTCACAGGCTCCTCTCCCCAATCCCCCCACAAGCCAGGGCGTCTGCCAGCAGGTCTGACGAGCTCCTGTGCCCCACTGCTCCTGGAGAGGTCTGGCCTGAGCCTCCCGGCACCTGCTCCCCAGCTCCTCTCCTGCCACAACGACCTTCTGCCGCCCACTCCCAGCACTTGGTTTTGGTGGCAGGGAGCCCACTCCCAGCTCCAGAGGTGGGCACTGATTGGTTCGAGTCAGTCAGCACATCCCCACTGACCCAATCTGGGCACATGGGAGGGAGGAAATAAACCCCTTGTGTGGGAGCTGCCACCAGGAGTCCCTCTCCTCTCCTGCACCGTGAGGCCTGAGGGTGTGAGCGCTGGAGCAGCGGCAGCCACTTTGCTGCCTCAATGGGAGGGGCTGGAATTGCCAGCGGCTTCTCAGAGGATGAGAAGGCAGAGCTGAGAGGCAAAGAGAAACCAGGTCCTGGGTGATACCGGCTGAAGCCTGGACTTTTTCAGTGCTCTGGGCCAAGAGATCCCTTTAATTGTCCAAAAGGGTCGGCTAAACCACAACCCCTGGACAGGCCCCTCCCAACAGCAAGGGCCCCAGAGCGCTCACCAGGTTGACAAAGTCCTGGTAGCAGATCTGCCCATCGGTGTGGCTGTCGGCCAGAGCCAGGAGCACCTCCCTTTTGTGCGGGTCCAGCTTGGAGCTGTGGCTCTCCAGGAGGCTGCGGAACTTGCCTGAGCTGATGTAGCCGGTGTTCCCAGGGTCACACTACAGGAGAAGCACAGACAAGCCGGGGGGCGGGGGGAGGGGGACGTGTCAGTGGGCTCTGGCCCCCTCTCACTCTGCCACAGGCGCCCCATCTCCATCACCACTCCCCGGCTCCTGTCCCCAGACCTCTGCCAACAGAGGCCGGGCGGGGTCTGGGATGTTGCCAAGGCCCCCCGAGGGAAACATTCAGACGAAGCTTGGACAGTCACCTAAAATCCTAGAAGGCCCTGGAGACCTTCGAGATCCACTAATCCAAGCGTCTGGTGTGTGGACAAGGAATCTGAGGCTCAGAGAGGTTAAACTCCCTTCTCTCCGCCTTTACTTCTGACTCTAGACACGAGGAAAGCAGGAATGAAAAGGAGATGAGCAGAGGAAGATGAGGAACTTCTGGGGCCTGGGCCAGAGGGACTCCAGTGGGGAATGCTCGAGGCCTGGGAGCAGGGAGCACAACCTGCCAACCCTGCATGTGGCTGCTGGCTCCCTCCCTGTCACCCAAAGGCACTGCGCTCTGTGTTTTGTTTGTTTGTTGGCATCACCCTTTTGCCCTCTGCAGCTTTGCACACGTGGATCCCTCTGCCCAGGATTCCTTTCTCCCTCGTTTCCCGGAGAGCCTCCGACTCACCCTTCCCAGCTCACTGGATGTCCCCTCTCCGGAAAGGCTCCTCTTAGACACGTCTGCACCTGGGACAGACCTCCAGCGCCCACCCCGCACAGCTCTGTAATGGTCTCCTTTCGACTCCTTCCTGGACTGCCGGTTCCCCGACGGCAGCGTCACAACATATCCCCGTGCTTAGCATCGAGCCGGCGGAATCGGCACTCAATAAAGACTTGTGTGGTGAATGCACAGGGGAGGTCTGGATGGAGAGATGGGTGCCAATTTCCCAAGGACAGTCCCATCAGTTCAGTTAGAAAAGGATCTTATTCATCTCTCCTAGAGAATCCCATAACCTCTCTGCCCCTCTTCCATAGCCCCCCCCTTTCCTCGAAGAACCCACCCAGTGTCCCCCCCACAGCACCCACCCTGCTGGGAACTGACGCTAACTCTGCTGACGGCTTGCCTGTTCCCAAGCGCCTCCCCACATGAGCTCACTGCATCCTGGAGATGCTGCATGGGTTACTGAGATTGTTGAAGGCAATCAGACTCCGCGGTGTGTGTGTGTGTGTGGAGAGAGAGAGAGAGAGAGAGAGAGAGAGAGAGAGAGAGACAGAGAGAGAGAGAGACAGAGACAGGAGAAGCCAGAAGAGCAGATCCACGTTTCCCCCTTTTCTTGATAAGGTCAATGACGACTATCTTAGGAAGGCTGCTTCTCAGTGCAGCATTTCTCAGGCAAGCCAGGAGAAATAGGCAAGAGTCACAAGTCATGGGCTAGTTCAGTCCCCCCAGAACTCAAAGAGTGATGCCCTGCCTAAGGAGGCCTACCTAACAGTGCGGGTCCCCACCCTCAACCCCAAACACCAGCTTTCAGAGATGACACAATGTGGTTCGCACGAGAGAGCATTGCGGAAAACTCAGCTACCCCAGCCCCATAAAGACCTTTAAGAATAAAAATACCTAGGCCCGGGCCGCGTAGCTCAGTTGGTTAGATTGACTGCCAAGGTTGCGGGTTCAATCTCCCGGTCAGGGCATGTTCAACAACCAACCAGTGAATGTATAAATAAGTGGAACAACACAGTGATGCTTTTCTCTCTAAAATCAATTTAAAGGAAAAGAATAAACATACCTAATATGTGTTGAATGTTTTCATGGGGCCAAATACAGCTGTAAGCACTTATGTATATCATTTCTTGGACTTCCTACAACAACTGTATGAAATAGGTCCTATTATCATCCCCATATTACAGATGAGAAAACAGAGGCACGGGAAAATGAGCACAGTGCCAGCAGCCAGCAGAGCCAGGGCTCCACACCCAGGCAGCTTTGTGCTGCCTCTATTCACCACTGGCCGCCAATGACCTTCAACCCCCAGAGCTGCCCTGCTGCTCAGAAGCAACATTTAAGGATCAAAGAGGTGAGTGCTGACCCAGGAGGGGAGGGGCTCTAGGAGTCTCACAGGCCCACTCTAAACAGAGACTTTTAAGGCGGGAAGGAGCCTCAAAAAGCAAGTTCTGCCAGGCCTGGCGTGGCTCTGTGGTGGAGCATCGACCTAGGAACCAGGAGGTCACGGTTCGATTCCAGGTCAGGGCACATGACCGGGGTTGTGGGCTTGATCCCTAGTGGGGGTGTGTGTAGGAGGCAGCTAATTAATGATTCTCTCTCATCATTGATGTTTCTATCTCTCTCCCTCGCCCTTCCTCTCTGAAATCAATAAAAATATATTTTTTAACAAAAGTAACAGTTCTGACTTTCTTATTGCTCAGACAGGAAAGTAAAGCTTGGAGAGGCGAAGTGGCAGTGTCGGCCAGGGAGAGCCTCCTTGGCCAGCCTGGCCTGGCTCCACATGGCTCCCACGCTGGGTGGGCTGATGCGGGATGACAGCGGGGTTCAGAAGCAGGCCTGAGTCCTGGGAAAATCCATCCTCCACTCCCACCCCATGAGCACTGCAGGGGGGCAGTGGCCTGCACACAGCATGGAGTCTCCTGCCTCTGCTGAGTGGGAGGAAGCCCAATGGCCTTGCATTTCATGGGAGCAGAGATACCAATCCCTTCTCAGGAGCTGCCTATAGGCTTGGGGGGTGGGGGCAGTGGGGTGAAGGGGCTGAGATCAGACAAGGGCCTCTCTCCTTCATTCCAGCTCCAGACAAAGGACCACCTGCTCCCTCTCCCCCTCCCCCTCCAGAGCTCCCTGCTGTTGTCCTAGTGACAGGGGCTGCCCTAGGGCTCCCCAAGCCCCCACCCCCCACCGAGGCCTGCCAGTCCTGCCCCAAGCACATTACAGGCTCCAGACTGCAGAGGATGAGCTGGAATCAGGCCCAGCCTCCCTTCTCTGCCAAAACCCTACCTTTCAGTGCCAGGGCCAGACAGGCCAGACAATGGGGTCATCACTACCCTAATAATGAGGCCTCAGGGATGCAGGAGGCTCACTAGTGGGGAGGGAGAGGCAGGGGTGGGGCCGCTGCCTGAGCTCCACAAATGTACACAGAGCACCTTCCAACTCCCCCACCCCCGCACCCCCGCCAAGAACCAGGGACGATGAGGACAAGAGCAGAGGCTGAGAGTGGGCAGGTGGGAGGCAGAGAGATGGAGACGAAGGGAGAAGAGACACAGGGAAAGCCTGAGAGAGGATGTGTAAAGGAAGAAGGTAGATCCCATTGCCCAGGAAGGCAGCTCAGAGCTTCTTAGGAGTCTGCAAGGCGCAAGGCAAAATCCCACTCTTGCCAAAACCGGTTTGGCTCAGTGGATAGAGCGTCGGCCTGCGGACTGAAAGGTCCCAGGTTCGATTCCGGTCAAGGGCATGTACCTGGGTTGCGGGCACATCCCCAGCAGGAGATGTGCAGGAGGCAGCTGATCGATGTTTCTCTCTCATCGATGTTTCTGACTCTCTATCTCTCTCCCTTCCTCTCTGTAAAAAATCAATAAAATATATTAAAAAAAAAAAAAAAAAAATCCCACTCTTGTCTCTGCCACTAACTGGTTTGTGTACTTTAGGGTAACCTGCTGGAGCCACAGTCACCTGTCTGTCAAGCAGGGTCACATCCCCTCGCAAACGCAGGCCAACCCTCTCCAGGTCCCAGGGTCACAGGGACTCGATGTCCAGCTCTAACTGCCCCATTCACAGCAAAGCAGGGAGCACCCTTCCTTCAAGGCAAGCTATGGGTGATGAGAACATACCAGTCCCGTGGCTTGGAGCTTTTGGGGATACAAACCCTACAAATGAAATTTCCTTGTTAAGAGTGCGCTCAAGGCCCCAAAGCTCTCTGTCCCGGGAGTCCCAGGCCCTGCATTCACCCACTTTTGGCAGCGGGGTGCTCTCGGGATGAGTCCGGGCTGAGTGGGTTGGAGGCAGCCTGACTGGGGCTGGTGAATGAGGCTGTGAATGGACCGCAGGCAGGGGCCCAGCGGGGAGTCGGGAGTGGGGAGCATCCTGGCAGCTGCCTCCTGAATAGGGGGCGGGGGAGGCCAAGCCCACGTTCAGCCTGAGTGGAGGATGCTGGCCGGGCAGGGGGGAAAGACAGTGAGGGGCCCCTCCCACCTGCCTCAGCCTTGAAAAGAGCTGCTGTGGGGAGAGGCTCCAGGGGACTTTAATCCCACCAGCACCCAGCCCTCTGGCCCCTTAATCCTCTAAGTCGCCAGTTTTCCCCAGCCGGGGGCCTCGCACAGGCTGTGCCTGCCATGCATCCCAACTCCCACCTGGACCCCTTCCTAGTGCACTTATGACCTAGGCTGGGAAAAGGACCCACCAAATTCCCTCTGCATTATTATTATTATTGACTTCAGAGAGGAAGGGAGAGGGAGAGAGAGCTAGAAGCATCAATGATGAGAATCATTGATCGGCTGCCTTCTACAGGCCCCCTATTGGGGATGGAGCCCACAACCCAGGCATGTGCCCTCGGCTGGAATCGAACCTGGGACTCTTCAGTTTGCAGGCCGACACTCTATCCACTGAGCCAAACCGGCTAGGGCTCCCTCTGTACTGCTGACACTTTGGGGTCTGTCCCCCTCTCTGGGGCAAGTCCCAGAAGGAACCCCTCCTCCCGTGCTCTGCCATCTTGGGCAGATCCCTAGGCACACTGCCTCCGCTTCTCCATCCATCATGTGGTAGGAGCTCTGCCTTCTCCAGATGTAGGGGGCCCATCCCACCCCATCCAGCCCATAGGGGCAGCTGATCTATTCTGCACCCTTGCTCAGTCAGGGGTGATGGGAAATTTGGAATTAGGACCAGGCAGGGGCGTGGATGAGGTCTGTGTTGTCACCTGGTGACACTGGGGAGAGGGGCAGCAGGTCAGGGAACCATAAGCCATGGTCCAGGAGGGCTGAAAGGAACCATCCTGTGTGTGAGCTGCACAAACTGCATTTCCAGGACAACTCTGCACTTGAATTTCCTTCTGTCTTCCACAAAGACC